TGATGATGATGATGAGGATGAGGATGAGGATGAGGATGATGATGATGATGATGATGATGATGATGATGATGATGATGAGGAGGAGGAGGAGGAGGAGGAGGAGGAGGAAGAGGAGGCGGAGGAGCAGGAGGAGGAGGAGAACCAGTTTAAACCCAACAGTCACCAACGAGGTTGGAATAAACCCTCCCCCCAAGCTCCCTCTTCATAGGCCCCTACAGTGGTTCATTTTCACAGAGGGACCTGCCTCGATGGAAGGACCGTTTGAAGACCCTGAATCATACCTCATTCTTGGTAGTCCACCGCCACGGATGAACCGGACTGTTGCGTCTTAGCGATCCAGAGCTGCACCATAACGCCATTCTTGGGACCTAAACTCCGCGAAACATCCTAACAGTTGCGCCCTCAAAATCGTAAGTCCAACCAAAACACCAGTTCTGGTTCGTCGATCATGGGAACCCGTGAGACTCCTTGCAATTCTGTATCCAGAATGTGCGCGGCGCTAAAGCGAGAGCCACATTGTGAAAAGGAGCTTCTTTCAGTCCGTGAAGCTCTTGCACATGTTGAAAGCGAATGTGCGCGGCGGCAAGACGAGAGCCACATTTTGAAAACAACCCGCCCTCAATCCGTGAAGCTCTTGCACATGTTGAAAACTAATGTGCGCGGCGCTAAGGCGAGAGCCACGTGTTGAAAAGGAGCCGCCTTCAATCCGTGAAGCTCTTGCAAATATTCAAAACGAATGTTCGCGGCGCAAAGGCGAGAGCTACAGTTTGAAAACAACCCGCCCTCAATCCGTGAAGCTCTTGCAACATTTGAAAACGAAAGTGAGTGGCGCTGAGGCGAGAGCCACATTTTGAAAAGGAACCACCCTCAATCCGTGAAGCTCTTGTTGCAAATTTTGAGAGCGAATGCTCGCGGCGATAAGGCGAGAGCATCATTGTGAAAACCACCCGCCCTCCATGTGTGAATACGTTGTCAATGTTTAAGTTTGAGGGTCATAAATGGTGAGGAAGTCCCAGGCGAAACACCCGGCCCGCCCTAAAAGCTGGCCTCGGGGTGCGACAGGGAAAACTTTCTTAGGAGGAGGCGGAGGAGTGGTCGAGGAGGAGGAGGAGGAACAGGAGGAGGAGGAGGACGAGGAAAAGAGGAGGAGGAGGAGAGGGTCGAGGAAGAGGAGGGCGAGGAGGAGGAGGAGGAGGAGGAGGGCGAGGAGGAATAGGAGGAGGGGGACGGTGGAAGATGAGGAGGGGGAGGACCCGGCGCTGGAGCTCCTTTCCCTGGCGAATTATATTTTGCCAGCGGCGCTCCCAGCTGTACTACTTCCGAGACAGCAGCGGCGCCTGCCGCTGGCTGCGCTCGACGGGCGGGGTGGGCCAGGGGGACCCTTTGGCGCCGCTGTTGGTCGCTTGCGATATGCGCTCCCGCCTGCAGGCACTGGAGGACAAGCTGCGCGCGGATGGGCCGGCTCGGAGACTGCGACCCGACGACGTCCATGCCTTGGCGTACCCGGGCAGTGCTATCTATTTTGCGCCTCCCGAGCTGGCCACCGCCGTGACCTTGGCGGGGCAGGAGGTCCTGGGTGCCTTCGGCTTGGAGCTCCAGCCGCACAAGACGCAGGCCTGGTCACCGCGCTCGCCGTGCCCTGCCGGGCTCGAAGATCAGGGCGTCCCGATCGGCGAGCCGCTGCCGCCGGGGAGCCTGCCGGACGCGGCGGACGAGTGCCCCGTGGACTTGGGAACGCACGCGTGCCTACGCCGCCGAACGCTGCGCCAAGACGGCGGTGCGCGCTGTCGCAAAGGCTCGCGGAGCTGCTGGGGCTGGCCTCGCCGCGCTGACCAGCGGCGCAGGCGGCGAGGCTCCTCCGCCGCCGCCGTCGCCTACGATGCGGCTGCCGTGGAGGTATACCGGGAACTGGCGCGCCTGGGCCCCTTGACGGCGGAGCAGAGCGCCCATTGTGAGCTGCCGCTGCGACTCGGCGGGCGCGGCTTCGAAAGCCAGGGCTTGGGCGGGCTCCTGGGCGCAGGGCTTGACCGGCACGCTCGAGAGAAGCGGCCTGCCCGACCTGGACACCTCTGCCGTGCCGCTGGCCGCGGCCTGCCAGGGGGCACTGGCCGCGCTGCCGAGGCCTGGCCCCGCCGACGACAACGAGGGCATCGCGTCGCTACCGCCCTGGCGGGAACTCGCCAAGGCGCCTCGGGAGAAAATCCAGAAGCTGTTCCGGGCACCGGGCGCGACACCGCTCACCGCTCCTGCGCAGCGCCCATTCGGCCGGCGGGCAGCTGACGAACGGCAGGCCTTGGCAGCGACTGAGGACGACGACCACCTCAGCGCGGCGCGGACGCTACTGGGGCAGGACCTCGCGCCGCCGAACGGCCACCGCTGCTCCAACTGGCTGCGAACAGGCGCGAGCGCTGGGCAGCCCTGCGGCCAGCCCCTCAGCTGCAATGCGCACCGCGCCTTCTGGCGTGCGTACGGCGGGGGCACAAAGGCGCGCAGCCGCGACGTCGAGGATGTGTGGGAGCATATTCACTCAGAGCGCAGGTTCTGGACGGCGCGCCAGGTGCACGTATTGGCCTGGGACCGCTGGCGCTGGGCATGCCGAGCACCTGGCTGCGTGGCGCGCGGCCACGCGGACGCCCTGCAGTAATGGCCCTGCAGGGAGTGCGGGGCCGCGTTCGAGACGCGCCGCGAGAAGGCTCTGCTGGACAGCGAAGCCCAACGCGCCGGTTGCCCGCGCCTGCTGGCGGGCGTGACTGTCCGTTACAGCGTGCCGGGCGAGCAGCGTGCCCCGGCGGCGGCGACGGCGGACGCCGACGGCGCGGCGGAAGGCGAGGCAGACAAGTGCGGCCGCTACCCCGCCGGCCGCGCGCCGTTGCGGCCGCTGCCGCTTGCGCTGGAGACCGCTGGGCGCCGTGGGCCGGCCGCTCTGACGCACCTGCGCTGGCTGGCACGCAGCGGCGCCCAGCTGCTCGGCAACGGCTGCGATGCTGACGCCGCGACCGGCGCCCTCGCCGCGCGCTGGGGCGCAGAGCATCTGCATCGGGCGACGGCGCGGCAGCTCCAGAGTGCCCTCGGGCGCGATGCCGCGCGGGCCTCGGCGGCAGCACTGGCGGGCGATCTCGCGCGCTAGGCGCTCCAGTAGGAGTAGCGCGGGCAGCGCTCGCGGTCGCCTGCTGGTTCGCCGCGCGGCTTCTCCTCATCGTCTTGCGCGTGGAGGCGCTCAGAAAGTGGCCGGCGGTTCGGTATCGACAGACCGCCTCGCCGCGCCAGGAGGAAAAGGGAGGAGGAGGAGGAAAAAGGAGGGCGAGGACGAGGACAAGAGCGAGGGCGAGGACGATGATGCTGCTGATGATGATGGTAATGATGATGATGAGGAGGAGGGTGGATGCGGATGATAGTGATGATGATGACGACAGTGATGGTGAGGATGTGCATTATGATAGTCGTGATTTTGGGAATGATGCTGGCGATTGTTATGATGACGATGATGATGATGATGCTGATGATGATGATGATGATGATGATGACGACCATCGTGGCGATTTTGATGATGGCGACGGTGGTGATGATGATGAGGAAGTGGAGGAGGAGAAGGGTCAGAAGGTGGGGTGGAGGAAATCGAGGAGGGAGGAAGAGGAGCAGGGTGAAACCGTTGCCTGTCGAGGGGGAAAGCCCTCCGCCCAGCCGTTTCAGAAGGGACGGGGGGGGGCTCAAGCAGGGAAGGGATGGGCCGGCGCGGCGCTGACGGCGTGGAGCCTGCGACCCTCGCCAACGACACCGAGTGCAAGGACGCGCCAGACATCAAGTCGGGCCTGCCCATCGTCTACCCTGCGGCCCTTTCGCAGCACGGGGTGGCGACGATGATCTCTAACGACGTCGACCGCAAGGCCATGCCGAGCATCAGCATTGGTTTGCCCATCGTCTCCGACTCCAACTGCCCTGGCCTGTCCTACCCGTGCAGGCACAACAGCACAGGCTACCATTCCGCGGTCCTAGCACAGCAGAAGGTGACGAACACGCCCTCCAACGACGGCGAGCGCAAGGCCATGCCGAACATCAAAACAGGCTTGCTCGTCGTCTACGATTCCACTTGCCCCTGTCCGTGCTGCTTCGAGAGCTACCCGTGCATGCACATCACCACGGTTTGCTACTGCGCGTCGTCAGTGTAGCACCAGGTGACGACGACGCCCTCCGATGTCGCCGAGTGCAAGGCCATGCCGCACATCACATTGGTCGGCCCATCGTCTACGACTCCAACTGCCCTGGCCTGTGTTTCACACGCGCAGGCACAACAACGCAGGCTGCCATCCCGCGGTCCTAGCGCAGCAGAGCGTCACGACGACGCCTTCCAACGACGCCAAGTGCAAGGCCATTCCGAACAATACGGGCTTGCTCATCGTCTACGATTCCAGTTGCACTAGTCCGTGCTGCTTCGAAGGCTACCCGTGCATGCACAGCAGCACGGTTTGCTACTGCGCGGCCTCCCTTGCAGCACCAGGTGACGACGACGCCCTCCGACGTCGCCGAGTGCAGGGCCATGCCGAACATCAGCATTGGCTTGCCCTTCCGTAATCTACGGACTGGCCTGTCCCGCTCTACTACATGATACGACTGGCACCTCCCGTGGCCCATCCGAGACATGAGCACCTTTTTCCCCACGCAGCGCTCAGCTTTGCAGATGAGGAGGATGAGGCGGAGATCATCACAGGGAGCAGCCCGAGCCCGCATCGATAGGCTGCAGCGCTCGACTGCTGACCTGCCGATCCCACCGTTGCTACTGGTATCCTCCTCCTCCTCCTGACTCCTGCTCGTCCTCCTCCTTCTCCTCCTCCTCCTCCTCCTTCCTCCTCCTCCTCCTCCTTCCACCGAATCGTGGCGCCACAGTGTCCAGGCCAGCTGGGGAAAGCGTGGCCGCGCAGGCACGCCTGGCGAGGACGACGTGGGGCGATCCCCTTCTTCCTCCTTCCCTCGCTCTCCTCCACCCTTCTCCCTCCCCCTGGGCTCCGCCGTCTCCACGGCCGTTCCCCAGCGGCCCCCCTCGCCCTCCTCACTCACCCGCGCGGCCAGCCCACCGAGTCGTGGTGCCACAGCGCCCGGGCTGGCCGAGAGAAGCGCGGCCGCGCATGCACGCCCGGCGAGGGCGACGTTCTGCTGCGCGATCCCCTTTTTCCTCCTTCCCTCTCCTCCCTGCTCCCTTTCGCTGGGCACCGCCGTCTCAGCGGCCGTCCCCCGGCGTCCGGCGCCCAGACACCGACTTACTGCTTGAGGGACACCGATGCGGCCGAACTTCCTTTTCGAATCCTGGTTCTGAGGCGGTTCCTCGGTGGTGTTGGTGGCCCCGTTTTCTCTTTCTCCTCCCTCTCTCTCTATTTCGCCTTTCTCCACCCAGCGTCATCTTTTAGTTTTACGCCTTCCCTGATGGCAGAGCGCCGCCGGTTTGGGAAGGGCAGCATCGGTCATCGACCCTAATGCCCACAGCGTAAGCGCCAGGAGGAGGATGAAGAGGAGGAGGAGGAGGAGGAGGAGGAGGAAGAAGAGTAGGAGGAAAAAGAGGAGGTGGAGGAGGAGCGGAAGGCGGAGGAGGAGGACGAGGAGGAGGAGGGGGAGGAGGAGGAGGAGGCGGAGGAGGATGAGGATGAGGATGAGGATAAGGATGAGGATGAGGAGGAGGAGGAGGAGGAGCATGAGCATGAGCATGAGATGAGGATGTGGTTGAGGATGAGGATGATGATGATGATGATTATGATGATTATGATGATGATGATGATGATGATGATGATGATGATGGTCATGGTGATGATGATGATGAGGAGGAGGAGGAAGAGGATGAGGATGAGGAAGAGGATGGTGCTGATGATGATACTGATGGTGATAATGATGATGATGGTGGTGATGATGATGCTGATGATGATGGTGATAGTGATGCTGATGATGGTGGTGATTGTGATGATGGTGATGGTGATGATGATGGTGCTGATGTTGATGCTGCTGCTGATGCTGATGATGATGCTGATGATCGTGCTGCTGATTCTACAGGCTTACGCCACATCCGCCGACCCCTTCTGTGACTGTTGCGAGACCAGGAGTTTCTGGCCAGCGGCGTCTTGTGTGAGGGTGCGGTGTCGCGCGCGGGTGGTGGCAGATACGTAGGGGGTCCAATTGTTTGCTGTGATCAGCGAAGCATCACCGCGAAAGATGTGGCAGATGAGTCGAAACGGGTGAAGAGGCTGTTGACGTTCGCAGCGCGCACGAAACAGTTCGCGTAGCAGCAGCACATTCGCGCCGAGCAAGATTGTGAGCACGTCGCGAGGAAAAGCAAGGCTGCATGCGCGGAGTGCATTGCAGTTGGCTTGACGGCTCGCAATGCGGAAGCGTCTGGGGGTCTTTTGGAGGCCTCCTGGGGGGCTCTTGGGGGCTCCTTGGGGCGTCTTGGCGGCCTCTTGGGGGCCTCTGGCGGCCTCTTGGGGCCCTCCTGGGACGCATCTTGGAGGCCTCTTGGGGCCGTCTTGGGCCGTCTGGAGGCGATCGTCGGTGTCTTTGATCGCTCTTCGACCGTCTGTGACCATATTGAGCTCTCTTGGAGGCCACTTGAAGCGCTCCTGGAGCGCTCTTGGGGCCGTCTTCGGGGCCCTCTTGGGCAATCTTGGGCGCCTCTTGGGCTGTCTTGGGGTTCTCTTGGGCTGCCTTGGAGCTTCCCTGGAGGCTGCTTGGACCGTCTTGGGGCGGTATTTAGGGCCTCTTGGGCCGTCTGGGAGCGTCCGAAAGCCCAAAAAGCGAATTCGTGAAAAATATACGTTTTACGAAGGGAATGGGCAAATTTTTGCGTCTAGGGACCCTCGTGGGACGCATCTTGGAGGCCTCTTGGGGCCTCTTGGGGACCTCTTGGGCCGTCTTGGAGGCCTCTTAGCCCGTCTTTGGGCCATCTTGGGCGTCTGGGGGCGCTCGTTTGGCGTCTCGGGGCTCCCGTGGGCCGTCTTGAAGGCCTCTTGGGGCCATTTTGGCCCGTCTTGAGGCTTCCTGGGGCCCGGAAAAGCCCCGGCGGCGCTCGTCCCGGGCCTGGGGGGGGCGCTCGTCCCGGGCCCGGGGGGGGCGCTCGTCCCGGGCCCGGGGGGGGCGCTCGTCCCGGGCCCGGGGGAGGCGCTCGTCCCGGGCCCGGGGGGGGGGGGTCAAATCGCCGGTTTGGGGTCCCGGGGGGGGGACTATAGGGGGGGGAACTATCTCACACGCCTAGAGACCCACAAGGGGTCGGCGGATTTTGATGCTGTGCAGGTGATGATGGTGATGATAATAGATGGTGCTGATGATGATGTGATGATTAACGATGATGATTGATGCTGATGATGTTGATGATGATGCTGGCTGATGATGATGATGATGGGTGGTGGTGGTGGCGATGATGATGATGATGATGATGATGATGATGAGATGATGATGATGATGATGAGATGATGATGATGATGATGATGATGATGGTGGTGACGATGATGATGCTGCTGATGATGATGAGGAGAGGAGGAGGAGGAGGAGGAGGAGGAGCAGAGAGGAGGAGGAGGAGGCAGGAGGAGGAGGAAGAGAAGAGGGATCGGGGGACCGGGGGGAATCCACGAGGGGAGTGATGATTAAGGCGGGAGGGCAACATGGCCGGGGCATGGAATGTCTCCGGATTTGGTGGCGCCTTTTTTTCTCAATGCGCCCCGCGCCCCCCCGTCTCTCTCTCTCGCCCTTCTCTTCGACGCACCCGAACGCAGGAGCAGGGGGGAGGGAGGAGGAGGAGGGGGGAGGAGGAGGAGGAGGAGGAGGAGGAGGAGGAGGAGGAGGAGGAGGAGGAGGAGGAGGAGGAGGAGGAGGAAGAGGAGGAAAAAAAGAGGAGGAGGAGGAGGAGGAGGAGGAGTTGGAGGAGGAGGAGCAGGGAGAGATTGATGAACTCCTGCGCAGCATCGTTCTTCAGAGTGCAATCAGGACGCTGAACAGAAACGAGCAGCTCAGGATCGGAAGGGGCTCGCTGTTCCTCAGGGGTCCTGCCATGGTTGGCCCTCTGGCACCAATCTTGCACCCAGGCGTTTTTGAGGCGCCCGGCAAGGGTTTCGTTCTTTCTCTGGCGATCCTGGTGGTAGCAGACTGATTGCAGAAGCACCCGAAGGCGGCAGCGGCGACCATGCCGAAGCCGATCGTCGGCCCCGGCGGCAAGGTGCGCCCACACGCAATTACCTTCTCCTCCTACGTTGTATTTTTTTCGCGACGTCTCCCCCCTAGGGATCTCGACTACTTCCCCCAGTCCAGCTTTCGATCCTGAGTCGTTTCTTGACGGCCCGAGCCCGGGAAAAGGCTTCCAGAGGCCGAAAACTGAGCAAAACCAGCCGTCGCGATTTTGCTGCACCGCCTGGGTCTGAGGGTAAGAGAGACCGTTCGCCAGAGTGGGCGATCTGGGGTCGTTGCACCACCCTCTGAGCAGATCCGCCCTAGCGTTGCCCCCGAGAGAACCCTGAGATCCGACGTTTCAAAATAATTGCAGCACGCGAGCCCTATACACCACCAGTTTGAGACATGTTTCGAGCTGGGCCGATCTGTGCCGCGTACGTCCACGGGCGTGGCGGGATATCGGGCCCCTATCGGCGATGAATAGGCGATTCGGGGTCGATGGTCCCCCCCTGAGCATACGGTCGGGAACTTTGGGATAGCGTGTCGCGCCGCCAGTTCTCGCCCACCGCACCTCGGCGCGACACGCCATCGACACTCGGAGCTCCAAGCGTCCACATCCTTAGCTTTCCCGAGCCCCACGCCCCACATGCTATCCGCTTACAAGGCATAGCGTGTCGCCTGGGCTGCCGCCGCGACGCGCTATGCAACAGCGTCCGACCGTATCCCTCCTAACGTTGCCTTTGGTGTGCGGCCCAGGGGGGAAGCGGAGGCGGCGGGGCTTCTCAGAAGCCGTCCCGTCCTTCCGAGAAGCTGTCTTTGTCTTCGGAGAAGGCGTGCGGTCGGCAACTCTTAGATAGCGTGTCGCTCCGCTGGTTCTAACCCACCACGTTTCGGTGCTCACCACCCACCAAACCACCCCAGAGGCCTCATTTTGCCCTCCATTTCCAGTGGGTGGGGGGCCGGGGAACATGGAAAAACATATGGAACCCGTCCCCCCGCAACCCGAAATTCGGTTCTTCGGGTTGGGTTGGGGTGGTCTAGTAGGCAGTAAGGTGCGACACGCTATCCACTGCCCGGGCCCTCTGGCGTCAACGTCGAGAGCTTTTCCCAGCCTCCCGCCCCGCGGAGCGGAGCGAAACGCTATCCGCTCGCATGGCATAGCGTGTTGCAGGGCCGCCGCCGCGACACGCCAATATAGACTTCCCGACCATGGAAGGCATCTCAGAAGGCGCGAGGGCCTCTGAGAAGGCCCACCGCCTTCTGAGCATGTTTCCCCCCTCCTATTCCTCCTCCTCCTCCTTCTCCTCTTCCCTCCTCCTCCTCCTCCTCCTCCTCCTCCGCCTCCTCCTCTTCCTCCTCCTCCTCCTCCTCCTCCTCCTCCTCCTCTGCTCCT